TATTGAGTAAATTACAAAAATCATGGACATTGCATGCAAGTACAACTCCTATGATCCCGTTGATAAAACTCACTTCTGTTGGCATATGATGTGAAAGTCAAAATCAAGGTTGAAGTAGGAAATTTTATGTCATCAAGTTACATATTCTTTAACCAAACAAAGAAGACCATATTATGAAATGCCTAATTATTTATTCTTTTCATTAAATTGTTTCTAAGATAAGACACAACAGACCTACCTTTAAGATATTTAGATCATCTTCCATCATCATGATATCTGAATCAGAAAATGCTCTGGAAGGTCCTCCATCAAGCAATACCCCCACATAGGCATGCTGAAGCCACAAATGCACACAACTAAATTAGCCAGCAATGACAGGCCTCAACCAAAGACATAGCAAGGACAAGAGAATACCAGTACAGATCGAAAAATGCTTAAAACCACAAGATCTCTAACAGTGTCATCTATCAAACCACATATATGATTGAGAACCTGCATTAAACTTGTCAGGTTATAAAAATTTCTTGATCATACACAAACTCGTTAATATAAATATGCAAGCAGTGTCAACATGTGCGGGGAGAGAGAGAGAGAGAGAGAGCTTATATGGTTAATTATCTTACGGTATCTATGTATGGAAGAAAACTCTCCAAGCGAGCACCTTCAACATCACCACGATACAATTGCAGCAGGAACATGTCTCTCAGGTCCCAAAAAACAGCTCTTACTCCTATAAGTCATATTTCATGAAAGGAAATTAAGTTTACAATAAGGATGCAAATTGAGATAAGTTTCTGGGGGATAGAAAAAGAAATATTATTGATAAGGGCAGAAGAAATAAAAATTATGGGAGGATTAGATATCTTCAGAAAAAGAAAAAAAAATAGAAACTGAGAATGACTATGTAATCTTGTGAAATAATAGCTAACAAATCTCCATCCATGCAACATCAACAAAGAAAGATCTCTAAAAATATATTGTTCCTGAGTCCACAAAGATGCCAAAAAAGACTCTTATCCTAGAAAACCAAAAAAGGGAAGCATAATCCTTGTTGCTGGTAATATTGATTGGTAATGCTAGAGAGCAAATCTAAAAAGTTATTGGCTCATGATCTGGATTAGTAGCGTTGATTCACATGTGTACTTTTATACTTATGAATCAACACATACACTTCGAATTATATAAATCCTTGATTAAACTGCATTGCTGATATTGACCCCAAAAAAGAAATAGAAAGTACAGCTAATCTATGAAGCACAAACCTCTGAATTTTCACAGACATAAAAAAATGTTGCATAGAAACCTTTGTTGGACAAGAAACTACAAGATTGAGATTGTTTGAGAAATGAATAGCCAATTCAGGACAAGAAAACCATAAAAAGAAATAATAGAAAGTAAAAAAGAACAGGGAAAGATA